AAGTTGATTCCAAACAGGAATATATTATCCACGAGATTGACAGAATTAATATACAATGCTTAGGTTTGTGCAAAGTTAGATGACCCAATGCCGGCGACTTTATGAAGGACCAGAAAAGAATCCTCTCTTCAGAAGGCCAAGAACATAGAAATGGATTCGTTCTGGCCCTAGATAAGAACTTTTCAAAATCTGTTCTATCGTTCTGGTCTCAAAAACGACCACATGCTTCTAGTTAAGATCAAAGCTAGGTCCTGTAAATGTAAACATCTTAGTAGCATATACTTCCATTGCGGATTCTGAAGACCTAAAAATGAACAGCTTCTACAGCTCTTTCGATGAATTATTCTCGTCATCATTGGCTTAGAAAGAGATGGGACGACTGTCGGACCGCACGGTCTAGGAGAACGGAATGAATGTGGAGATATACTTATAGATTGTTGTAAGGAGAAAAATCTGGTTTAATGTACAACCCAAACGATCATATACATTGATTAGTCCAGGTGATAGAGGCAGGAACCAAATCGACTATGTTATGATTAGTTCAAGATACGGAAACGCAATCAAAAACTCCCAAACATACCCGGGTGCAGACGCAAATTCAGATCACAAACCAGTGATTGTCCCTCAAAAAGTTGATGAAAGCTCAGTACAGGTCAGACTAGTGGTGCGAAAAACAATTTAAACAAGATGGTTTTTTTTTTAGATATCTACCAGAGGCTTCTAACAAGGACATTAATCATCGACTAGGTGCCTCCATTGGAAATATCCAAGCAGCAACTACTAAAACAATCACGGCAACAGAAAAGACGCCCTCGTCAAGCTGGCTCCACACAGAGCTCAAGGACCTGCTTTGAAAACGACAAGTTTCAAAACAGAACACGGTGCAATATGAATTAGTAAATAAGCTTTACAAAAAGGAATGTAAGAAATCTTAGAATCTCAGTTGTCATTCCCAAGAGGCGTTCTAAAGGATAAGGGAGATCAGTGTTCAACGACCCTTTTCCTCGTAAAATTGCATCGAAGCAGTGGACGGCCGCATTCTCCACGAGGCCGAGGATGTCAGTGCTCGCTGGGAAGAGTATGTTCAAGAACTTTTTGACTATGATCAAGAGCCATAAGATCTAATCCTCGAAGCTGTCTCATCTTATCCACCAATTCTGAAGTCAGAAGTGCGTTGGTCACTACAGCAAATGAAAACTGGGAAAGCTGCAGGTCCTGATATGCTCAGGGCCATAGGAGAGAAAGATATTGATCTCATTTGAAATGCTATCTTCGTCATGAGAAAGCTTGCCGAAAGAGCCATCCAACACCAGCAAAATATCTATGAGGTCCGGCTCTTAGAATTGCTCAAAATCATAGATGACGAAGATATGAGACTAATTCAGTCAGTCTACCGAGATCAACTTGCAGCAGTCCGCAAATCCGATGGAACAACTAACTGGTTCCCCATCAAGTGAGGTGTCCGACAAGGTTCTGTGATGTCACCT